CAAAAATTAGCCGGGCATGGTGGTGGGTGCCTGTAATCACACTTACATGGAAGGCTGAGGCAGGAGAATCGCTTACACATGGGAGGTGGAGGTTGCAGTGAGCTGAGGCATTCCAGCTTGGGCGACAGAGGGAGACTATGGAAAAAAAACAAAAAGAGAGAGAGAGAGATTGGGAGGGAGGGAGGATCACTCCAGCTCACAAGGTCAAGGCTGAGGTGAGTTGTGACTGTGTCACTGCACACCAGCCTGGATAACAGGGTAAGACCCTGTCACAAGGGGGGAAAAAAGTTTTGACATTTGGCAGAATTCTGTGGCTCTTTGGTCTCAGTGGGGCTATATGATAAGAAAAGGCAAGCAGAAGCCCCTAGAATGCCCTGTCTCTAAAAACACACCCAGATTCCTGTGGGCATCTTCAAGATTGGCCCCCCCACCAAAGACTTCTAAGATGCAGAGGTGATGATTCTCTCACATCTCTTTTTACTTCTCATTTGGCTCATACAGAAAAATGGCTCTTGGAGGACAGTGTACTACTCTAAGCCTCAACAGGTGCTGACTAAATGCAGCAGCGGTTCCAGATGTCATTTCTCACCAGAGCAAACAAACAGCCCCTGGCAACTGGTATGATGTGATTGATTTGGAAAATGCTTTTACTCTCTGTTCAATAATCAGAGAACACCAGCAGCTAGTGAGGACCTTGATTATCTGTCGTCCAATAGGATAACGTACTGTTCTACCATTTGAAGGACATGCAGATAGAACCTGGTGAACAGAAAGTAGCAGGGATAGTAGGATGTATGTAACATGTAACATGCTACATGAATGCCAGAAGGTGAGAGAAGTCCCTTGAATGTAGGAATGTGTAATCTCTATACAATTCTGGCGGTCTAGAGATCAGGCATATGTATCATGACATCCCTTCCAAAGACAGGCTCACGATAGAAATATCCTCTAACACTAAGGAAGAAGCACAACATCTGGGAGGCTGTTTTTGATTTTTGGAATCGACATCTATCACATCTGAACGCTTTGCTCTTATCCATTTACTGCTAATCTAAAAGGCTTCCAGGTTTAAACAGGACCCAGTGTAGGGCCACATGTGGAAGACCAAGATGCTGAGTGGAACTGGTAGTAGGAACTGACAGGAGAATCAGAATGAAGGCTATGCTTTGTAAGTGATTCTCCTTCTAATAAACATCTCACAGCCTGCTACTGGGTCCTGGAGTAGTCCAGACGCCTGACTACAGGGCTGCATTCCTTCCTGGAAGCCTGAGGAGAGATTGTTTGCTGCTCATTTGAGTTGTTTGCAGAAATCAGATGAGGTTGTAGGACCAGGGTCTCTTATTTTCTTGGTGGCTGTCAGCTGAGAGTTGTTCCTAATTTCTACAGGCTGCCTCAATCCTTGGCTCATGGCCCCCTTCATCCACCTCCAAAGCCAGCAACAGGAGGTCATGTCCTTCTCATGCTTGTCTGACTCTTTGTTCTATACTAAGAGCTCTCCGATTTTTTTTTTTTTTAAAAAGAGTCTTGCTCTGTTGCCAGGCACCAGGCTGGAGTGCAGTGGCACGATCTCTGCTCACTGCAACCTCTGCCTCCTGGGTTCAAGCAATTCTCCTGCCTCAGCCTCCCGGGTAGCTGGGACTACAGGCACACGCCACCATGCCCAGCTAATTTTTTTGGTATTTTTAGTAGAGACGGGGTTTCACCATGTTGGCCAGGATGGTCTCAATCTCTTGATCTGCTCCCCCTCGGCCTCCCAAAGTGCTGGGATTGCAGGCTTGAGCCACCACACCCGGCCAGGGCTCTTCGATTTTAAGGATTCGTAATTAGATTGGGTCTACTCAGATAATGCAGATAACCTCTCTGTCTCAAGGTCCTACAACCAAGGGCAAGTTACATGGGCCTCATCTGTAAGATGAAGATAATGATACCCACCTGTACTCCATACTTGGGAGACTGTTTATTACCCCAAATTGCCATTGCCCACTTCATTTTCTGAGGACCAAACCCCTTCCGTATCCTTCATATTTAAACTGAAAATAAAGTCACCCAACTACAGGCTACATATGGTGCTTGCCTTGCCTATGTGACAGTTAAGGCCATTGGGGTATAAGCAAAAGTGAGATATATATAATTCCTGCATCACTTACAACATCAAGAAAAGCCGCCTTCCTAGCAGCTTGTCTACTTCCTACTTCCTTTGGGTTTGAGTGTAAATGTGGCCACAGTCTAGTTAAAATCATGCAGATGAGAACACCACCTTCAGGGAAGGGTGAAGCAGTTAGATAATCTCTTTTTTTTTTTTTTTTTTGGGGAGTACTTTGTTTTTTTTTTTTTTTTTTTTTTGATTTTTGTAGAGATGAGGTTTTGCCATGTTGTCCAGGCTGGTCTCAAACTTGTGAGCTCAAGTGATCTGCCTGCCTTGGCCTCCCAAAATGCCAGGATTACAGGCATGAGCTACCACGCTAGGCTGTGAGACAATCTCTGAATAACTTAAGGAGATAGATATGCTCCCTAAGCTGAGTGGCAAGGCTAGGCTGTCGAGAGAGAGAGAGAGAGAGAGAGAGAGAGAGAGAGAGAGAGAAGGAAACTTCAGTATTACTTCAATCATTGCATGTTTCCTTTTTTTTTTTTGAGACGGAATTTTCACTCTTCTTGTCCATGCTGGAGTGCAGTGGCACGATCTGGGCTCACTACAACCTCTGCCTCTGGGATTCAAGTACTTCTCCTGCCTCAACCTCCTGAGTAGCTGGAATTACAGGCATGCGCCACCACACCCAGCTAATTTTTTTTTTTTTTTTTTTTTTTGGAGATAGAGGCTCGCTGTGTCGCCAGGCGCTAGGCTGGAGTACAGTGGTGTGATCTTGGCTCACTGCAACCTCCGTCTCCCAGGTTCAAGCAATTCTCCTGCCTCAGCCTCCCGGGTAGCTGGGACTACAGGCACACGCCACCAGACCCAGCTAATTTTTTTGTATTTTTTTTTTAGTAGAGATGGGGTTTCAACATGTTGGCCAGGATGGTCTCGAGCTCTTAACCTCGTGATCCGCCCTACCTCGGCCTCCCAAAGTGCTGGGATTACAGGTGTGAGCCACTGCACCTGGCCTGCATTTTAGTAAGTGTGTATTTGCAACATGCTAAGCCACATAGAGAGTACTATACAAGTAACAGTTATTGCTACAGATGTATCATTTTGTATTCTGGAGATGGGCAACTCTACTTGTCTTAAGCCAACAGTATCCATTAACACAGACATAAGCAACACTAGTGTAGTCTAAGCTAATTAAAACATGTCACTTGCTTATTTAGAGACAGTAAGGAAAAAGGACTATCACTTATTGAATTCACATGTGCCAGGCATTTATATGTTAATTTGTCTTCCGAAATAACGCCATGAGGCTGCAGAAATGAAGAAACAGAGGCTCAGGGGTTAGGTCACTTCCCCAAGATCACTCTAGATTGGGGTGGCTCGAGCGTGTTCTTCCAACAACACTATGCCCTCTCTGCCAAAAGGCAGGTCAATGGGGAAGTTGAGAATCAGCCCATAGCCCCTCTGAATTCTGTTACTCACATAGAGGTACGGTACTTGATGTCATCTTTTTCAGCCAGCTCTTCACAGGTGAGGCCATTATGTTCTTTCCAGAGTCCCTGACACTTCCTACAGGTTTCCTGGGGATAAAGGACAGACACAAAAACAACTCCTGGTGAGTGTACACCACAGAAGTTCCTGTTCAACAAAAGGGATGTGAAATGAGCTTTACTTGGCTTGAATTCTCAGAGGATGCCTCTCCTTTTCAGGGGGGATATTTCTAAAGACATCTTTTAATAGAAGAGGTAAGAAGTGGCAGGGTTCAGTGTTTCACGCCTGTAATACCAGCACTTTGGGAGGCTGAGGGAGGCCAGGAGTTTGAGATCAGCCTGGGAAACACAGTGAGATCCTGTCCCTTAAAAAAAAAAATAAAGAGTGGGGAGAGGAGGAGGGTGGTAAGAATCATTAGAAGGATGCAGAAGGAAAAATTTATCTCCCTAGATTAAAAAAAAAGTGTTGCTCCCATCACTTAATTTGCATAAAACTTTCTAAAATGCTCTGGGCCACCTGAAAAAAACCAAAGGGGGCAGATCTTGGGTTTTTAAAATACAGTAGCACGAGCTGCTTGGCAGGGCCTGTCTGGATCTTGTTAATTTCTGCAAAATCCCTGTTCCCATACTCTGGTGTCCAAAATGTGCTTCGGTTGGATTGAAGAATGATCTAGTTCAGTTCACCAGGGGCTCCTAAGAAAGACTTTCCTCTGCTAACCATCACTCATCAGCATGGGTGTCATCCTTAAAAGTTTCACTTCATATATAAACATGCATCTTAAATAATCACCACCTTTATTCTAGGATTCTTCACAGTTTATGAGATGGTTTCATATGTACCCGAAAGTATCTCACATCAATAAGAATAAAAAATTATTAATCCAATGATCACAGATATTAAGTGGAAATTATAATCCTAACAAGTTATAGTGAAGGAAAACATAGTGTTGTCAGTTTTAAGTGGGGTAGAGGGGGACTTGACCTAGTCTGGGGAGACAGTGAAGGCCTGAGGACGTGAAGCCTGGATCCAAAAGACGAGTCAACAGTAACTAGATGGGGCGGTGAAAAGAGATTAACACTCCAGACAATGGACAACAAGAGAAGACTCTGGCAGGCAAAGTCGGGCATGTTTAGTTCCTGTGGCTGAACTGCACACAGTGAGAATGGCTCTGAGGTTCTGCAAGCACCAGATTCAGGCAAAGCCTTGAGGGGCATGATGAGCAGTTTGCTCTTTATTCTATGAGCACTTGAAAGCCACCAAAAGCTGCCAAGTACGGAAGTAGTATGATCAGATATGTCTTAAAAAAAAAAAAATTCAGGGTGGAAAACACTGGAGGGAGGAAAGAGTGGATGTGCAAAAAGCAGGAGCGAGTACAGCCACTCAGGAGAGAGGCCAAGAGGCCCAGGCCAGGGTAATGGTGGGCAAGGACAGGAAGAAAAGGGGACTGACTTGAGAAAATGGGAGGAAGACTGGTGGGTGTGGAGATGAGCCGCTGCGCCTGGCCCTTTCGTATGTTCTGAATTTTGTACTATATGGTGTACTATCTAATAAAAAAAATTAAAAAGGATGAAAAATGGAATAGACTGCCGAGGAAGCTGTGAACCTGACCCTTCCGGTGGGATGTTGTAAAAAGACTCAATCAGGCTGGGCATGGTGGCTCATACCTATAATCTCACACGTTGGGAGGCCAAGGCAAGCAAATCACTTGAGGTCAGAAGTTTGAGACCAGCTTGGCCAAATCCCATATCTATTAAAAATACAAAAATTAGCTGGGCATAGTGGCTGGTGCCATAATCCCAGCTACTTGGGAGGCTGAGACAGGAGAATTGCTTGAACTTGGGAGGTGGAGGTTGCAGTGGGTAGAGGTCGTACCATTGCATTTCAGCCTGAGTGACAGAGTTAGATTCTGTCTCAAAAATAAAATAATAAAAAAAAAAAAGGCTCAATCAATGGGCTGGGGTGGGTGCAGCAGACAGAAGCTGATGGAACATACTACATTTAAATGTCACTATTTCTTAGGGATGCGGATGTGCTCTGGTCCCCCACCTACATCCCATTTAGTAAACAAAGGTGACATTACTAATGTGCCTATTACCCACCAAAACATATAGCAGCACAAACTCAAAATTTTTATAAGACCTTGTGCCTGACTATTGTAGGAAGCTGGAGGATAAACAACAGCTGGAGAATAGATGAGCTGCCAACCCAGCCCCTCCAGGAGTTAACAGCTTGAAAACAACACATGGCATTTAGACAGTTTTAGCATTCCTGACAATTCTGTTATTAATTCATGGGTCTTCTTCATAAGGGAAGAAACCCCACTTCTGAAGTAAGGCACAGGCCCACAAGGGCAAAAGGAACTGGCCAAGCTGGAGCCACGTGTGTGTGAGAGCCACTGTAAGGTCCTCTGCTCACTCTCTCCATCACAGTGCTTCTTTTGCAGGTGAATGTGTGGGTTTTCAGCCAGGGCACTTCTTACTGAAGGGCCCAAGGGCCCCAGAGAACATATCTGAAATGTCTTTTGAAAAGACTTATGTAGCTAGATACGAAACCCATAATTAAAATAAGGCAAGCAAACAGACGGCTGGGGGAGTTGAAGATTCAGAGCTCTCTCTGTGTAGTGTCTTTAAAACGTACCCTCTCTTCTAAATAGTGTACATTTCACTAAATTGTAATTCTCCACCCTCAGGCACAGCTAGGCTTTGCTCCTAAACTCAACAAATGCTTACATATATTAGGAGGAAATGCTCTTGAATGTTTTAAGAATGTTTTTCTTTTCTTTTTTGTTTTTGACACAGGGTCTTACTCTGTCACCCAGGCTGTAGTGAGATCTTGGCTCACTGCAACCTCTGCCTCCTGGGCTCAGGTGATCTCCCACCTCGGCCTCCTGAGTAGCTGGCACTACCGGTGCCTATAGTCCCAGCACTTTGGGAGGCCAAGGTGGGTAGATCACCTCAGGGTGAGTTGGAGACCAGCCTGGGCAATATGGTGAAACCTCTTCTTTACTAAAAATACAAAAATCAGCCAGGTATGGTGGTGCATGCCTGTAATCCCCGCTATTTGGGAATCTGAGACAGGAGAATTGCTTGAACCCAAGAGGCAGAGGTTGCAGTGAGCCGAGATTGTGCCACTGCACTCCAGCCTGGGTGACAAGAGCAAGATTCAGTCTCAAACAAAAAAATATACAAACAAAAAATAAAAATAAACTGCTGGGATTACAGGCGTGAGCCACTGTGCCCAGCCTCTTGCATGTTTAACATGATAACCACATTCTTCAATCTGTGGTTTACAAGAAAGCCCCAAAGGACCATTTTGGAAGGCTAAGTACACTTTGGCAAGTAACCTCAAAACACAAATAATAGTGTACCGTGGCTATCAAGTGGGACCACACTTTTTATCACCTTGTGCCTTTCTGATCAGGGGGGAACCTGCGGGGTTCACCATCATCCCAAATACAAGGCAGGCAGCTCTCGCCCTCTCAGTGGAAAAGGAACATGTGTGCTGGGTAGTCTGTTAACAAGCAGCCATCAGGCCACGTTCTTCATGTCATCAGGGAGGTTGCTGGTTAAATTTACGATGCCCTTTCGTCCTCGAAATACATCAAGGTGTTTTGATTATTCATGAGGTCTTCTTCACTGTGCAATATAAAGAAAACACTTTGGGCCAGGCATGGTGGCTCACGCGTGTAATTCCAGCACTTTGGGAGGCCAAAATGGGTGGATCACGAGGTCAGGAGATCAAGAACATCCTGGCCAACATGGTGAAATCGTGTCTCTACTAAAAATGCAAAAAAATTAGCTGGGTGTGGTGGTGCCCGCCTGTAATCCCAGCTACTCTGGAGGCTGAGGCAGGAGAATCACTTGAACCCAGGAGGTGGAGGTTGCAGTGAGCTGAGATCACACCACTGCACTCCAGCCTGGGAATAGAGCAAGACTCTATCTAAAATAAAATAAAACACTTCAATCTTCCTTTATCCATTTTCTGCTGCCTAAATAATTATTAATGAATAGAGTAGAAGATTAAATTCAATTGTAGTTGACCCTATCAGGGAGCTGCAATTTCTTCACATAAACGTAGCTTTCTCAAGAACCAGTAGACAAATGTATCCAGCCATCACCTCCTTCAAGTCTAGCAAGTGACAATAAATCTTGAAACTTCTGGGTTTGTTGGCAAATAATCCGAAAGAAGGTCTGAGCCCACAGCCCAAGTCATCGGGTTCTGCTTTCGTTTCCTTGCCTTCCTTACAAACAGGAAGGCATCTGTCTCAATGCACGCTAGATTTCAGTTGCTGACTTCCACCCAGCCTTGTCTCAGAAGCAGAACACAGTACAAACTGCTCCCTTACTTCTGAATGGTTCCTCCAGTGAAACCTGTCAACTCATTCTCTAGGGGAGAGAAGTCACTGACATGCCACAGGGCATAAGAAGGCTGTGAACAATCCAGAAGTAGCTTCAGAAATTTCAGCTCTCTGTTCAGTCACCTCAAAAAATGGTGATTCTTCATCCCCAGCACTCTTCAGGTAAAAGGCCCGGGTACCTGACTGTTCACAAATGCTTAGTCAGGGACCATAGGACTGTGGGCTTCCAGGCCATCTGTGTCTTCCAGTTGTCAAAGATGCTGGTCCTCCCCAACCCTAGGCCCAAATGACATACAGAAGGTCCAGAAAGACGGATTTTAAGATGAAACCCCTTAAATCTAAGGAGTTTACACTAGAACCCCTGCCAATCAATAAAGCTCAGCAAAATAAAAGCACAAGGCACATTCAGTGGACTTTCTTTCCTTTCACTAAGGGAATCCAAGAATCTCTATTTTTCCTAGGTCAAGAATGCACTTATCAGCCAAGTAAGGCTTGTTCTTCGCCCTCAAGGAGCGCATTCTACTGAGGGAGTTACGTACTGGAGCAAATCAAGTACAGCACAATGGAGTTCAGTACACACACACACACGCACGCACGCACGCACACACACACAGTGGGGGAGAATACATACATGTGCATGCAGAGGAGAAAGGGGTGAGTCAGACAAGGAATCTTTGAGGAGTTGACATCTTCATGGAACTGACTACATTAAGTACCATGAGTAATCAGACT